GATGGGTCTTGAGATCAGCTCTGAACTTCGCAAGTGATGGAGAAGTAGTCAGAGAAGTAGGTAGAGAGTTCCAGAGAAAAGGACCAGAAAAAGCAAAAGCAGATTTTGCAAAAGAGTTAAGAAAAAGCGAGAAGAAGAAGACGATCGTAAACCGGGGCGTTTAGGTTCAATTAATATATCTGATAAATACTTAGGAAATAATTTAGATTGAGACTTATACATGAACGTGCAAATTTTAAAAATTATTCTATATTTTATAGGTAGCCAGTGCAAGAGAACAAGATATGGAGATATATGAGAAAAGAAAGGGGCACGAGCAACTAGACGAGCAGCAGAGTCAAAAGCTTTACTTAAAGGATAGAGAATAGAGTCTGGAAGACCATAGTAAAGCGAGTTACAATAATCAATCCTAGATAAGACTAACGAAGTAACAAAAAGGAGAAGAGTAGGATCATCAAGGAAAGGCAAAAGCTTTTTTATTCTACGTAGATGAAAGTAAGAGCTTCTACCAACACTATTAATCTGAGAAGAGAGAGACATAGTAGAATCAAAGATAAAACCTGACTATGAAATTAATCGCATGATTTGAATGATTGTTGTTAATGTCTTTTTTGTTTGGGTTTTCAAAGGACATTATTTATGACAAAATAACTCAATTATAAATAAATAAATACCTATTAATGAAAAACTGTGAAATATTTTATAGTACATATTATAATTATAGTTCAATATTAGTTAGGCAGCTGATGTTTGCTAATACAATTGTCATTCATTTAAATCATTTAATAAAGACGTTATTATTAATTAATTTATTTTTATAGTTTAAGCTACAAAGGAGCCTCTAGACCTGTTTAAAAATGTTTTTATTGGTTTTACGGTTTGTTCTATACTGACACTGCCTTACATGGAAGAAATGGCGACCTCCCTGTTATCTATATTAGATTTTATATTTTCTTGGCTCAAATACACATTCAAGACAGCAAGAAGCAATGAAGAACAAAGAAATGACAACAAAGATGAAGAATATGACACCAACTAAGTAACTCATTTTGCTAAAAAAATAACTTTGATTTGTTTAAAGAAACTAATAAACCAAATCTGCACTGAAGATGATTCATGAAAAATTAAAATAAGGCCTTTCTGCATGATGAATTTGGATAACAATACATTTTATTAAATTTTCATGATGAACTTGGATAATAAATTGAACAATTTCCAGAAAATTCTAGTAAGCAAAATTGAAAAGAAAAAATTGAATTAATGCCAACAATTCGATAGAATTCATACCATACTCTATATATAAATATTTATTTTTTCGATTTTTTTAACGGTAGGTTAAATCCAGTGATATTTCTTAACAATTGTATCTACGACAGTCTCTACCCTAAAATTGAATTATAACGATAAGGATTATTATACAGAGTTTGTAAAAAATTGTGCTAATAGTTTCCTCATTAATCTAGGTTCACTTTTCATTTCATTAAAACTTACTCGTTCACGCAATAGTGAAAAATAATAATTGCGTTGAGAGCTGCAAAGTGTACATTTGCCAATAATTTACATACCGTAAATCAGTAAATGGTTGGATTTTTAATTATTCGAATTTTTTGCCAATAAAAATCTCAGTAATTTGATCATAAGGCATGCCTACCAAATCATCATTTCATCCAAAAACAACAAGATTAAGAAAAATTAATTATTAAATTTTAATTGAAATTGATTTAATATAAACCAGTGTTTAGTTTGAAATTTATATACCTGAAGATTAATTAAATTTAAAAATAAAATCAAACTCCAAATTCATGTATCATTTTTCTTTAAGAGAAACCAAATAAGGAAAAATGTAAAAGTGGTTTTAAAAAAATTTTTAATCATAGCTCACATATCTGATCCTTTTATCAATTTTCATGGAGCTTAAAACCATTATTCATTAAAAATGATGTATTATAAAATTTATTAAATTTACAGTCTTCAACATTAATAGTCGCTGGTCTAGGTTTAGCTGCTGCCGGATATTTAGGTCAGAGTCAAACATTTTATAAAATAATATCTTTTATATATTAACATCCAAGTTCATCAACAGGATGCTTTTACTGTTTAGTGTAGTAGATTGATAATGAAAATATAACATCATTTGTCTGTTATTGGCACTAAATATTTTTTTAACCACCAGGAAGATATGCACTGAGGTACGGCAAAGTTGCTGGTGGTGTCCTCTCCAAGAAACTCGACCAAATTTCATCCATGGTTAGTTAATTTCGGTGGAATGGTACGTTGGTGGCCATTTTTCCCGATTAAATATAAAAGTTGATCACTAACTTGCAGAACAGCAAATTCTACAGAGGAGGGTTTGATGTAAAAATGAGCAAGAGAGAGGCAAGTCTCATTCTTGGAGTCAGGTGATTTTTTTCCACCCTTCATATTCAAATCACCATTCCAAGTCAGATATTATTTATTAGGCATCTAATAATCTGAATAAGTAAAGAGATTATTGTTAAAAAATAATATTCCACAGCCCGGCAGCTAGCAAGACCAAAATAAAGGAGGCCCACAAAAGAATAATGTTGCTGAATCACCCGGACAGAGGTGCTTTTATTTTTATGAATGATAAAAAAATTACATTCCTCATCATCTGCTATCTGTAGGAAAATTAAGTAATCAATTAAAATTTAGGGTAAAAAACTATGAAATTTGTTACTTTCAATTAAACGAGCCAAGAGTTAATAATTTTAATAAATATACCAAATTTTAACAAATATACCAAAACGAAATGATTGACAAGAAATAATTTAAGCCATAAAAATAGAATAATTGCTTAGAATTAAATCTAATTAAATCCAAATTATTAAAGGAGGTTCACCATATTTGGCAGCCAAAATAAATGAAGCAAAAGATTTGATGGATAAACCAGGAGGTGGTGGATAAGGATGAGACATTCAAATTTTTATCGAAATTATTTTTTCAATTTTTCAACGATTCATATGTTAATTATTTTAAAATGAATACATGTATTGATACATTTAAAATGTGTTGTCGTCATCCATTTGTCGTCGAATGAAGAAAGATAAAAGTAGATCTTAAAATTAATGATGTCACAATACAATTATTATCTTTATAATATCAATCAACATCGATAACAAAATAAATAAATAATAAAACAATAAAATTATATCGAGCAAATAAACATGTTTGTTTAACAGCAGATAGTAAAAATTCATAAAATTAGTACCTATGTTGGTGCATCATTCACTCTGGTTTATTACGTTTATTGAATCGATCTTAGAAATATACAGCCATTTGTCATCATAGCTTTCAATTTTTGTAGAATTCAAAAATAGATCTAATGTAAATTAATTAATCACTTTTCGAAGAAACAAACAAAAACAAATTAAAAGTTTAGAAAATATAAATGTTGCAAGATGAAGTTTTATGTGAGGTTGTTGGGACGTGTGTTTATGTATATGTGTGCGTGCGTAGGCATGAAGAAGTTGTTCTCATCATCTGAGTAGCACTGACGTGGCGGTGATGACGTCATTGTTCGTCCTGTTGAGCGCATCTATGGCGTCATCTCTCGGGAAACCCATGTCCACCAACTGCTGGATCTGAACGGTAAAAATATTCATGAATTAAACCAACCATCCTCTTCTTGTCATCGACGTCATAAATTGGTCGTATCACCATTCAACAATCTCTCAACCCATCGTCATCTGGAGATCAGTCATTATCATAATATCTAAATAACCGTCAGCTTATTAACATTTCTAAACAGCATGTTGTTTAAAAAAGTCGTAGGAATTCAGTATTCGACAAGAAAATATTGATTGAAATTGGGAACAAATGATTTCGTAAAATAAGCAACGCTTATAAACGAAAAATAAGTTGGCAAACACTGTTTAACCTGCTGTTCTGATATGGCTGTGTTTCTTGGCTCTGCAACAAAATAATTTCATGTTAAATCATTTTACGTGTATTTATTTTTATACAAGATAGCGATAACACATCTAAATTGATATTACTTATCAGGGACTAAAGTGTCAAAAAATTATTAGGACTGAGCATTTCATTTATGCAAAGCCATCCTATAGTTGCATACGTTAATGAACCTAGTAACAAATGTTTGATAATAAAGTGAGAAAAAAACATTATAAATATTTTAGCTTAGATTTCAATGCATGAAAGTGAGATAGTGATATATCATTGATGTACATACATTACACAATGAATAACTCGTTGATGAAAGTTAGGAATACAGTTTGTTGGATCACAAAAACGTTATTCTAAAAGGGAATGCTCTATATGTACACGAATATTCTAGGAGATGTGGATAAACCCACGTTGGCTGTTGCAATTGAAATGTTGAAATTAAACCTCAACGGCAAAAGTAAATTTTACTAACGACTGGTATATCTTCTAAAGAGTCCAAATAAGTTCTGCCAAAAGAAATTTATTATTAACTGAAAAATTTTAAGAATATGAAAAAAAAGAGATTTTACTGGGACAAAAAATAATGTAAACAAACAAGGTGTAAATTTCAAAACAGACATTGATGTTGTTTGCTTCCTGTTGAGGAGGTGACGACGATGAGGAGGATGAGTATGAGGATGATGATTGCAGCCAGGCCATGTTCTCCAGTTGTTCCATGTACTGGGACCTCTGCAACTCCAGTGTCGCTCCCATAGGACGCTTCAAGTAACGCGGTGTCGGAGATTTTAGCATGTGACCTGGTGGTCAATTTATATAGTTTGTGATTGAAAAAAAATATTTTAAACCACAAAATTTATCTGACATAAAGTAACTTACAAAATGTAAACATGAGCAGAGCTCACAAAATTTAAAATGCTGAACAATTGAGCATGTTATACGACTGGAAACATAAAGAAATACAAAAAGAAATAGATATGACTTTGCAAGAACTATACATCCATATGCTCTGTGTTATTGGAAGGTTGGCATGATGCATAGGACGCTATATAAATGATAACTAGACTATTATAACTAGATAAAAAAAAGATTACTAAATTAATATTACAAGATAAAAAATGATTAAAAGATTATTATAACTAAACAAAAAATTTTAACCGAGGGTGTTTTCAGAAAGATGGGCAATGAATGTTGGCATGTGTGTCCACGACTTCATGAGGATGACATTGTGGTAGTATGCAAGTCCGGAAAACACACCAATCCCCGCCAGCATCATGCTTTCCATAGAAGTGCTCAACATCTGGTGTGCATATGTGAATTCATGTGTGGATGTGTGTGTGTGTAAAAATGTTGTGTGTGTGTGTGTAGAAATGTTGTGTGTGTGTGTGTATGTGTGAATGTTATGAGCGTGAGGGTTGTGTGATTATAGCAATGTATGTGTGTGTGTGAGCTTTAATTGTAATTATAGGATTTTCAACAATTTCAATTTTTAACATTTTAATGAGAAAAAGAAGTATGAGATGATGTTAATGAAAACAATAATGACTGAAAGTTTTGATAAAATCTGATAGAACATAAATATTGTTAAGACATGCGCGACAAGGAAAATATTTTAAAAGTAACAAATTTCTTTGAACCTGCAGCCCAACCACGTAGGTGATGCTCTTTCCAGTGAAAGGAAAGCCCCAGATGTGCATGATGACGATTCTTGGAATGTCGCAGTAATATGGAACGTACAGGGAAAATAATGGCCCCCACCTACATTACACGTGCAATAATTATCTTGAAAAATAAATTACAGCTTCAAGATATTTTTAACCTACCTTATTTTGTATCTTTTGAGCCAAAAAATATACAAAATAAGATATTTTCATCGTATGTAATGTAATGTTGCTTAGTGTTTTCGAAGTCCATTGTTTAAACTTTAAGAGATGCTTATGCTATGTAAGTGTTTGTGTTTACGCTCAATACAAGTCTTTGTTTATGTTTATGTTTGCATTTCCATTTGGTTTTTTGGTTTATGTTTTAATTTAATTTGTTAACATTTTACCCTTGGTTTTTCAAAGTGGCATAGAATAGTTCAAACGTTCATTTAGTCAAGCTATATGTATAAACTACATCAAAATAACATAATAAACAATCAATAGCAACAGATTATCTTAAGTGTAAAAATTAAATACTTTAATAAATAAAAACTAAAAAACAAAAAAAAATCAGTCCTAAAGTCAAAGAACTAACAATCCGGTTGGCATGGCATCGACACGATATTGCAGCAGGTGCATGAGGTTGAGGATGAAGAGTTCGATGATGTTGCTCAGTGCGTACGTCACTATGAAGTAACTCTGGGGGATGGTTGTGTGTGTTGTCGCTTGTAGACAGAGAACATTCTAAATTTAACATTACTATCAGTCCAACTCTGTGATCTACGTAGCGACGTCACTACAACAATTATTGGCGCCTTTCAGTTTTTTTAGATTTATGTTCAGTGTATGCATAACTGTGCATGGCAAATAATAGAGCATCATACACTTTGGCTTAAAAAGAAATATCTGAGCACTCTCAGTCAGAACCATTCTTGCCAACATTTGAATTTTCAAAAGCGGGACATTATATATATATATATATATATATATATATATATATATATATATATATATCAAAAATTCAACACTACTTTCAACATTGTTCAACTTTTTTAAATTTCTTTTTATTTTATTAATTTCAGAGAAATTAGACATTTTATTGTTTTTTTAAATTTTTATTAAATAAATTTGCAAATAGCTATTTCGAGTTAT